GGAAGCAGAGAAATGGAGGTTGTGAGAGTCAGTAATTTTTCTTTTAAGAAAGCAAATACTGCAAAATGTTTATATGCTGATGGGTATGACCCAAGGTGAGAGGGATGGATGAGAGATGGGAAAACTGTAGGATTAATTTCCTTGTGGAAGTGAAGGTGGGCTGGCTTTAGATAAGAACAGAGGTAGTAGTCCTGGTCCACAGAGTGTGGGATCAGATGCAGGCAGGTGGACAGAGTGGGCACTGAGAGGCAGGAGAGTTGCTATCTGGTTGCCTCTTTTCACATAGGAGGAAAGATACAGAATGGGAGAAGGGGAGTATGGCAGAAGGGCTGGGAAGAGGAGGTATGAAGTAGTTGTTTTGAGGAGCAGGAAAGTGAACAAACAAAGGTATATAAGAAAGTTTGGCAGAGTTGAGTGGCTATGTGTGCTATGTGGCCATTAATTTAAAAAGCGTCATCAGTACAGCAGCAAAATTTAGGTGCTCAGGCCCAGGCATAGAGAATAAAGGCAGTTATGGTTATAGAAATATATTTGTAGCTTACTCTAACTTGGAAAACTTAAACAAAAAAATCCACATTAGTGGTCAAACATGCTGTATAGTGACTTTATTTCTCCTTAGACCAAATCCTAGTCCATTTTTTAGCTCTTGAACCTCTGCCTTTTTCCATTCTTGCATTCTTACTCAGATTTCCCTACAAATAAAATTTTAAATATTCAAAATCAACAGCACAGCAGGGGGAGATAAATGTACATGAAACACTAGAGTCAAATTTCATTTCCTCTGTGAAAAAAGGCTCTAATAACAAAACTACATTATTTCCTTTAAAAAATTTTATGTATAAATTCATCTCTGTGGCAAAATGTAATTAGCTGCCAAAGTAAATATGATCACCTAGAAGATCTCCAGTGAGCCTGGTAAGTCAAGCATATACACAACTAATGCCAACAGCAGAATGAAAGACTAGTTACTGAATAGTCCTCTTTGTTTCTGGACATAAGCTGAAGAGGTTGTGACTTATGCTAATTCAAAAGTGATATGGGAAATTCAGCTAACTTTTAAAGTTAGCTTGTTCCATATTTGTAAAAAGGAAGTAAAGATAACTTTCTTCATAAAGTCCTCATGCTAATTAAATTAGAGAAGTATGAGCAGTGCCTGGCAGGGTGAGTAAATGCCAAGTGAGTATCAGTTTTCTACCTTCCTCCAAATGGTTCCCATCCCTTTGAGTCATTTCTGGCCAAAAAGATGTCTTAGCTGGTTCCACAGCTGCTTAGGACAGAGGAAAGTGTGCCCCCTACTTTATGATGCCTCCATCAGTTCCCAAATTTTAGCATGCACAAGAATTACCTGCAGAAGTTGGTAAACTGTAATCCTGGGTCCCACCATGCAGGGATTCAGCAAGATGGGTCAAACCTAGAAATCTGCATTTTTAATCTTTATTAGAGTTGTTTAAAATATACTTGTATTTCATTGTTGTGTTGGCATCACAATTCATATTTGGAGATGTTTTGTCACGTTTGTGCGTTTGTATCAAAAAAATTTAAAAACTGGCTACAGTGCTGTCTGAACTGCTGTGTAACTAAAATTTTAAGACTACCCTGCTTTAAAATTTCCTTTATTTCCTTAGATCTTCATGAAACAGCTCATCTTTTGCAGATCAAAGTGCTTTATTAACAGTTTGTGTATTCTTTTCCCATTCTTTTAATACAAAAAAAATTACTCAATCATCAGTTATTTTCATCTGACATCTCACTAAGTACAGGATTCATAATGTCAACATCATTAGATCAGTCATTCAGGTGGGTCACACAAGTTTATCCTTATTGTGCCAAATACCCACTCAAAAGATAAGCTGAATAACAGATGCCTCCAGGTGTGTACAACAACCTTAGTTTTTTGAAGTGAACTAGTACTGTTTAACAGGTCAAATTGCTAGTCTACGAAAATAAACTGGAAAAGACTCAAGTGTACGGCTGTACATATCAAATGGCAAGTTCATTTCAACAAGAACCTCTATAACTAACTATTCATTTGTACAAGTTCTCTGCTAGCATTGCAAAAGCCTCTCCTGAACAAAGTTATAGTTTAAAATTTAAAACAAACTTGATGAGATAAAATGTACCAGGTGGCTTTTCTGTAGCAGAAATTAATTACAACCATTCTTCCTTAAGTAGTTTTAAAGACAAGCAAAGTTGAAAATAAATATGCAAGCATACAGTAAACTAAAGTCTATATTTAGAAATTCAGGTACAAAGCACAGCAGAGCCTATGACAATAGAAGATAATGTAGAAATATAAGCTAGCAACGAAGCAGTAACTTCTTTCAAATAGCAGGAAACAAGTTCTCCAATACCATTATTTAGTGTTCATCCACTAATTTTAGAGCTTTTTTTTAAAAAATCCCCTTCGCTAACTATGACAGGTTGATTAAATATACCAACAAATATACTTAAATCA